ATCATCATCCTCCTCAGCCTGTTGAGGAAGGTTGAGTGTGATCATCATCCTCCTCAGCTTCCTGAGCACAGCCACCATCTTCCTCCCTTCAGCTTCCTGAGCACAGCCACCATCTTCCTCCCTTGAGTGTGATCATCATCCTCCTCAGCTTCCTGAGCAGCAAAGCCACCAGCTTCCTCCAAGGTTGAGTATGATCATCATCCTCCTCAGCTTCCTGAACACAGCCACCATCTTCCTCCCTTGAGTGTGATCATCATCCTCCTCAGCCTGTTGAGGAAGGTTGAGTGTGATCATCATCCTCCTCAGCTTCCTGAGCAGGAAAGCCACCAGCTTCCTCCAAGGTTGAGTATGATCATCATCCTCCTCAGCTTCCTGAGCACAGCCACCATCTTCCTCCCTTGAATGTGATCATCATCCTCCTCAGCCTGCTGAGGAAGGTTGCATCCTCCTCAGCCTGTTGAGGCAGACAGGACGTCACGCTGCCTCAAAGACACGCCAAACCCAGCATCCCAGCATTCTTTTTGCAAAAGGGGCTGCCTCCCTCGAAATTTTCGCCCGAAGCAACCCTCCTTTAGCACGACCAGCAAAGCGTGCAAAATATCATTATTAGACTACCCCCGCGAAAAAAATCTCTAAAAGGTGAGGTGGCAGATCACCTGCACAGGTCATTTTGTGCAGTTCAAGAAGGAGCATAATCTCTAAATTCATCCGGCACCGATCCATTCGCTTGCCATGCCATATCCTCGGGTAATGGCGCATCGCCATTTTCGGCTGGGGCCTTGTCGCTTTTTTCTGCCAACATCGGCTCCAAATTATCCACCAGTTCCAAAGCATCCCTCTCAGGACAATTCCTTTTAGTGTGGTCAGTGACGAATCTGAAGCAGCAATGGCAATAATGCCCCTTTTTTTCCTTTCCGTTTCCCTGGGCCTTCTTCGTCCTCTCTTTTCTTTTGACGCTTGGGCGCCCGGCACGGGGCCTGTAGGCGGGGGGCATGCAGAGTTTGGTATCTTTCAAGTCTATATGGCGTTTCACATCATGCATGTTCGGAACACGTAGAGATTCGACGACAAGGGTTCCGTCTGCCTCTTCCGTACAGTACACGTCTTTCCATGCCCGCGTTGTGTACTTTCTATCTGTCAAATTATAGAGATATTGCCCATTTTTTTTGGTCGCGACATAAGCATGCCTACATGGGACTCCTTTTTCTGTTCCAAACGAGCAGTCGCAGGCCATGCCTGGATTCCTGTGTTTCAAACGATCGAAGACCACATGGGCATCACCGAAAGTTGCGTCTTTCACTGTCGCACCCACCACTTTACCATTCGCATACGTGAGTGTCACATGCCTCTCTTGTATGTGTGCTGCTGCCGTTTCCTCCTCCCTGACTAGCGCTGCTACTTTCGGGGGGAAATGCTGCTGCCAGTCATGCGCTTCTTTGCTCCTGCGCTCGTGGTGCTCCTGGATTGATCGTGCCGCCTGGAATAGGCTGTATGCAAAATGGCATGAACGAAACGGCATATCCCTATGGTTTGCACTTTCCACACATGACGATGTCTTCAAACGACCTAGCTCTGCCCTTAAAGGGAATTGGTTTTCTGCAGACCATCCCTGTCCAAAAATCCGCTGCTTTGCTTGCGCATCATCATTGATGGCGTC